AGGCGGCCAGCGGAATCCTGGGGGTGCGTTAGGAATGAGTGTTGCCAGCAGGTCGGGAGAGGTGATCCTGCCCCTCTACTCAGTCCTGGGGAGGCCACACCTGGAGTGCTGTGTCCAGTTCTGGGCTCCCCAGTACAAGAGGGACATGGAGCTCCTGGAGCGCGTCCAGTGAAGGGCTGCAAAGACGCTTACGGGACTGGAGCATCTCTCCTATGAGGAAAGGCTGAGGGAGCTGGGCCTGTTCAGCCTGGAGAAGAGAAGGCTCAGGGGAGATCTGGTCAGTGTGTTTAAGCATCTGCAGGGAGGGTGTGAAGAAGGTGGCACCTTCACACCACCTTTTCAGTGGTGCCCAGTGACAGAAGGAGAGGCAACCGGCACAAACTGAAACACAGGAAATTCCGCCTGCACATGAGGAAAAACTTGTTTACTGTGCAGGTGACTGAGCGCTGGCACAGGCTGCCCAGAGAGGTTGTGGACTCTCCACCCTTGGAGATATTCATAAGGTGCCTGGATGGGGTCCTGGGCAGCCTGATTAAGCTGACCCTGCTTGAGCAGGAAGGTTGGACTAGACCATCTCTAAAGGTCCCTTCCAACCTCAACCGTCCTGTGATTCTATGATCCTTTCGAAACTGTGAAAACACTATAATCCATTATTTTGTATAAAAATGCTGTCTGGCTTGGCAACTTTCCCATCGATCCTGGAATAAAATAAAACAATCCCCCGAAATTAGAATGTTTAGGGCTTTGCAGACCACTAGTCTCACTGTTTTTCCCTCTTTGCATCCTGGACAGTGACCTGATCCAAAGTTCAAACAGTGGTATGCAGTACTGTGTAGCAATAGAAGCTCAAACGTTGGGAGTGGCATAATTGCATTAGTCCAATTCCATATCCAGCCTAATAAACTGTACTCTCAGGAGCATGTACTACCTGCATGCTGTTTTCAGTATATTGCAAGCAGGAATTTATTTTAATCCTATCCAGTTGCCCCTTCAAAGGGTTTATTTTTGTCCATGGTCTTCCTGTTCTTCCAAGTGTTTTGGGGACACTGATTTCAGGAAGGTAAGACTTTTATATCAAGTTTTCTATCAAAGTTTGCTGGCAAAAGCATCTGGCACTTTAAAAATGATAGTTGTCAAAGTTGACGCTATTCAGCTGACAGCTGTCATGCTGTAAATTGGGAACAGGGGTAGACAAACAATCTTTCCTTAAGGCTGGGCTTTTATCAGAGATACGCTCTGTCATGGAACAATTAGTATGGACCAATCCGTAGATCAGGAAGTGTTTCATTAGCATAGCTGATGCCTAATACTGTCAAGCGTATGCTAGATTGACTCACAAAACGCAGCATTTAATATAATGGAAAATATCCTCTTTTTTATTTCCTCCTCAGAGACTGAAATCATTTAATATCTTTACTAGTATTACTATGTAATGATTGCAGTTATGGTAAAGTATAAATTTGCTTCCGTAGCAAAGTATCATAAAACCTTTTTTCTTTCGAATTCATATACAAATGAAAGTTATGAAAGATACGACTGGAAGAGACTGATACAGCCTCCTGAATTCATGCAGGAAACGTTTCTTAGATGCCTTTTGTCTGTAACCATTCCAAATCTCATAAGCTGCAAGTTTGCTACTTATTTGGAGATTATACGTAAAGGTGTCTATGTGTGTACACACGCACGCGCGCACACACACACACACACACACACGTATTAGGTGTATGTATATATAAACTGGGGTATGTAAGAACTTTTCCTTGCTGAACATCATCTCTTCTATCTGTTTATATTTGATGCGTATATACAACCTAAGGAAAGCTTATGGCTGCAAGAGATGAGAAAGTTTTACACAACGCACGCAATCACACATGTATTTTAGGGTCTCTTGTATCACTGATCAAAAACAGTTAAGTTGAAAGGCATTTATTCTCATCTGTCATCCAAACTGATGAAAGTTTGGCTGCACACACACAAGTTGCGTGCTGTTGTGTTTTTAGTTCCATGTATGGTGAACTTACTTTTAAGCGCAGTGAAAATGATTAACCAGGATTTATTGATATGAGCAATACTTTGTTATCCTCAAATATCTGGCATAGACAAAGGGCTGTTAGTGTTTGAAACAGTAAGCAGGTGGCTTTGCCAGTTACATGAGACAGTTGAGATCAAGTGCCTCATTTTTTCAAGTGTCTAGCTTTGCAATTATACTGAACTAAAAACTTTTTCAAAAGCGAAGGGCTGTTTTATGATTGATGATTTACTTTTATAATAGTAACAAGGTGAAGCAGATCTTCTGGTGCTAAAGGTACCAAAGCATTATTTTTCTTAATTAGTGCACTGTTATAGGACTGTATTTAAAGGCTGGTCAGGAGCTGAATATAGCTTCTGAAGAACTGCTGCACAGTTGCTTAGAAATGCATTATTTGGGGCAACCATGACAAAAACCCCCTCCAGCCTAATAAAGATGGGCAATAACAAGTACCAAGAACATGATTCAGCTTTACAGCTGTGATGGCATATGGGCTTGAAAATCACTTAAAAAAAAGCTTGTATTTTTAGTACAGCTCTGTTTCTCTTCTGAAAGATACAAAATAAACTCTTGATGATAATAATTTCTGTTGAATGCTGGGAGGCATGCATGGTGTGTATAGCAATAAGAAAGTGTATTTGTAACTGGGAGATGCAGTAAGGCATAAACTGGATAAACGGGGACAGGCTTCTCTGATTATATCCTGTAATGCTATCATTTTTGACTATGTACTCTATCCTTACAGTACAAACTCTAACAGCGGATCTAAAGGGCACACCACATTAGCTACTGTGTAGTGCAATTCTTTCTGTGCAAGATCTGCATGAAGTGTTTGCATTCCTCCTTGAGAATCTGTGTTAGAGGAGTCTGAGTAGTATTTCTGTATTTCTTAACCTCTTTGAGCCAAGGACTACCTGTCAAATTTTGATTGATATTTGAGATAAGAAGCTACCTCTGTTAAATAGCATTGGGTCCATTTCTGTGGAAATCATTATGTTTTAGCTTCTGATATTTCCTGACAGTATTGCTGAAGATGAAAGGTCTTGCAGTCATGAGCTTTTCACCTGTAGGAGTGACTATTTTTTGTATTTTTCCATTTGTTTCATGTGCTTTCGTCCTCTTCCAAAACATACGAATAAACTCTATATGGAATGGTATTTCACTTAAGAATGAAACTAGAGGAAAAATCAGAGGAATAAAATACGCTAGTAATATATTTCTGGGAACGGTGATTAAAAATTTAAGGCATTTAAATGATGTCTTTAACTTAATAGGTTGTTGAGGTTGCTTCCCATTTTTTTACATTCAATTTTCTGCTTTCCTTGTTAGAAGTATCAGCCTGTAAACTGTTTAACTCTTTCTCAAAAGATGGTTGTAGATGCTGCATTAAATGCTCTAGAAATAATATTTTAGGGTTTGTAAAATTAAGGATATTTAGATTCTTATTCCCAGTGCATTCTCTACCAGCTGGCTGATTTATGTGCAGTAAATAGCTTCATTTACTTTCTCTTATGGCTAAGACACAGTCAGAAAAATAGCCAAGTTCTCTAATAATCTAAGCCAGAGATATTTGTGTGACTGTCCCTTGTGACTTTCCAAGGTAGCTGATGTCAAGTGGTTGGTCTGTGTTCTCTATCCCAAAATTCCACATGAATGAGGTAGGGGCCAAGGCTTTTTCTTTCAAGGTTATCTGTAGAAATGCTTCCCTGATGATGTTTGTTAGAATTGCTTTTAAAAGTGTTGATACACGAAAAGTGTGAAAGTGTATGAATTCATGAACAAGGTCTAGCGGTGAGCTGGGACACAGGACCTTCTCCTCTCCTCATTGTATACTTGTGAAAGGAGTACTTTTTCATGGGCTAGCTCAAACCACAAGCTATGCTGCAGCCATGAGCTAAGTTGCATGTTGGGCTAGGAAGTTCATGCACAGCTTTTGCTTTGCTTGTACGATGGTGTTGTCAGTTCCCTTGCTGTACAAAGAAATAGGCTGATTTAAGAAGATTGGAATGCCATTTAAGCATGAAGTGATTATTATACACATAAAACGTGCTCATTGAGCTCCAAGATTAGATTTGTACTTAATATTATACTGTCTATGTTCTGGCACAGAGAACAGAAGCAGGAGGATTGAAAAAACATCTGTGAACTTACTGAAAATAAAATATCTTTTGAAATGTCTGTATAATGCTTTTCTTTAAAAATCTCTTAGGCTTGTTCCCGTGTTATGACAGCTCAAGCAATGCTTCAGAGAAGTTTGTTAGAAACATTCTGTTGGAGTGTGGAGGTTGTGCTCAGTTAATGAGGAATGTGGAGTGGGTTGCCATATAAAAATAACTTCTTTATGGATGTTGAAATGTGTTGTTAAAAGCCATAGTTTGGACAAAGCTTCTGTAGTTTAGATTCTGGGTAAAATTATGTATAATGCTAATGTATCAAAACCCTTCAGAGAATTCTAAAGTGCTGAATTCTGACCGCTGTGATCCTCCTCTGCAAGAAGAAAAAACATTTTGAGACGTATCTATACCCATCTTGGGTGTTTGTTCCTGAGATAACTTGGGAGATATAAGAGGGAAGTGTGGGAAGATGAAGCATTGATTATAATGCCTGCCTTGGCTGAAGCCTCTATAAATACCATAAGTAATTTTTATATCATGAAGAAATTTTACAACAAGCAGTGTCAGGAGTTTACGTCAGGGCTAATGTTACAGTGAGGTTTCCACTGACTTTGCTTTGATGCTGGCAGAATGAAGCACACAAAGATCAGGCATCTTAGGTAATGTGACCAGTCAAACTGATTAATAGTTTTGCCCATGCTCACTGTGCATGCTGGACTTGCCTGCTCCTCTCCAAAGCAGGGGGAATCCCATTGCTTAGTCTCAACTACAGTAATTTGATTTTTAAAATATGAAAACAATATTAACTTGTTACAGAACTTAAACCACTGTCGTCTTCTTGTTTCTTTTAAATGTAGGTTACTACGCTAGTGAGCTGTCCACAAAATCCTTCTAGCAAGAAAAAGGGACGTTCCAAAAGAGCTCGTGTCTTGCTAGCTTCTGTGGAAGAAGCCACTTGGAATCTATTGGACAAGGGAGCAAAAATTGCCAAGGAAGCAACTATATTTAAAGAGGAACTTCATTCAGCGCTCCATGATGTCCGCAAAGAGAGTAAGTATGTGACAAATAATTTAGGCACCACAAGGCGTTAGATTAAACATGTAACCTCAGTAGCAAAATGAATTAAACGAAAAAGATCTTTAAGTAAAATATTTTTGATGAGATAGAAGCTGTTTCCAGCTATGGACATGTTGGGAAGTACAAATTTCTTCTATTTTATTTTTCATTGAATGAAAATTACGTCTGCTTGCTTTTTTGGTTTCACTGCTGAAAATGAACATGTTTCTGTCATGGATTTAGCTATGGGGAAAAAAGAGACAATATTACCAGTCTCCTGTGAAAACTTCGATGACAAATCACAGCTGGCAAATTGCTAGCTGCAAAATTTAGGATGGAAGAAGGGGATCTCATTTCAGTCTTTTTCCCAAAAGTCCTTTTTCCATGTTTATACCTCTGCGTTTTTTAGTCTCTCTGTGAATACAGGACAGGGGAAGAATTTTTTTATGGAGAAAAATACATTTTTTGAAGAAAACACTGAAATTGTTTATATTTTGTAGTTCCCTACTTAAAACCAAGCAACATTAAGCTGCTTAAACTAAGGCTTTTTTTGAGCATTTGCATCAAATCTCTCATCAAAGTGTTTGTTGAGTTTTGCGTAACCTGAACCATATTAAGTTAAGATTTTCGGTGCTATTTAGAATGTTCACTTTTCACTGGAGAATAGATACATGAAATAAGAATTACAGAGCTCACTGATGTCTAAATATTCATGTGCCAATTTTAAGCTTCCTAACAGATGAAAACCAAGAGAATGGCATGTAGACCTGGCAATGATACACGCAGAGCCTAAACCAGAGACTCAATGTTATGAAGGGCTTAATTCTGTAAGCAGTCCTGCGGCATCCACCAATGTAAAAAGTTGGTAGAAGAAACCCTTTAGTTATACTGGATGGCTCAAAGATTTTGCCCAGTTCACTGAGAGCAGTGTTTGGCTTTAAAAGTAAGTTAGAAATTGTAAAGTATTTTCCTTATCAAAGGGGTCATTGCCAAGTTGATTAGATAAGCAAATATTCTGTCACTGGCAGCACAATTAAAAAAAAAAAAATCCTACTTTGATTCCTGCCACATACAATCTAGCTTAAACGGTGTAAGATTGCATTGGTTACAAATCTTGATAGAATTTGGCCCATTCTATATTACAGTAATTGTCTAGGGTTATAGTATGTATCTATTTTTGAAATAATTTAATGCTTCTTTTCAATCCATTTGATATTGATGTCTCTGAACTTCATAGGTAGTTATGTTCCTAGTTTGAATAATGAATTATTAACAGTAACATATTTGCCAGCTATTTTGTTGTATTCTGTATACTTTCCAAATTTGCTTTCAAGGTAGTTTTATTTATTTATTGAGCCAGCATTTATTGAGACAGCAACGAGTATTAAGCGTATAACTTGCATGCCAGGCATTAACAATAACTGTACAGCTTTCAATTTATTTAAAGTGCTAATAAGTTGGAGAGAAATAGGTCTGGTTAAATAAAGCTAGGGTATCCATAAAAAGTATGTTTTGGTGTGTGACTGTTTCAGCTTTGAGATACCTGAATGTAATTTTCTCTGATACCACTGATAGAGAGTAGTGTGCAAGTTAGGCCCCGTTGTGGAAAAACGCGTCAGTGGGTGTTTTGTCCTTTTTTTTCTCAATTAAGACAGGCTTCCCCCTGTTACTTTGGATGGCTGTTAAGGAAATGTTTAAGTTAGTACATGCTTCAGGGCTGCTCTTGAAAAGAACTGTTTTCCTGAATCAGGGATTAATGTCTTTTAGACGGAAGTTTAAAAACAGACAATTTCCCTCTTTTGTGCAGTAGCAAGAATTTAATTTGGGAAGATGATGGAGGGCTCTCTGGAGTTATATTTTGAGCCTTCAATAGGAGAAAGATTTCTTTCTTTAAGCTTCTGCAAGGCCCTCCCTGATAGGGCAGCTCATCTTTGGCCAATTTATGCCTTGTTCCAATTTCCTAAGACCTCTCACTGTTTCCATCCAGGCTCCCAGAGTAGGACAAGCTTTTATGATCTACTGAGAGCACTATGTTAGCCACTTTTTTCCTTTCGGGCTGTATTTGTTGCTTTGTTGATTTTTGCTCTCCCCATGGAAGATAGGGGCCTAACTGGGTGAATAAGGCCAGGCTCAAATAGTCATATCTCAGATGACAGGTGTCCAGAACAGGTTCCTGTAGAAATCAACCTTGAAAAATGATTTGGGGGAAGGTTTCAGAGAAAAAAGGGGACAGAAAAGTAATGCTCTTAGTGCATGGTTGGGTGGGAAAGATCTCTCATCAGTATTGAATTTCATAAATAAATGATTCCCAGTGGTTGCCTTGGATCAGATTAAGAGAGACTGGTGAAAGCCTTCCCGAGTAAGTGGGAACAGGCAAGCAAAGAACAATGGTCTGTGCCATAAAATTATTGTTAAGCCATGTTATCAGATGAGCTAGTAACCAGGCTTGGTTTTACCAGGGAGCAAAATAGATTTTAATCTCTTTTTCACTGCTGAGGAATGTGTGTATATTCTTAAGCCATGTGGCAATTTGTGCCTGAAGCATCAATCATTTAAATCAGGTTTTTATATCCTCTGCCCTTAATAAAGTTGCAACTACTTCAAGTAATTTTTTTTGTTGTGTATTTTGTCTTCCTGCACGTGCAGCTGGGCTAATTTCTGAGTCTCTGCTGTTGTTCAAGGTAGTGATTACCAGGTATTGGCTTCTTCCCAATTCCAGAGGTGGCTACTTTTCAGAATTTATGATATACACATATGTTGTCTGAGGTACTTCAGGATGCTTTTGAGATGAAAAGTGTTATGACCAGCAAGTATCATTGTTACGCCGATCAGCTGAGATTTTTAAAAAACTCATTCATTTTGGAGTACTCGTGTAGTTGATCCATTCCAGGCGGGTAACACAGGGTACAAAGAAAATATGTGGTTTTATATTGATTTTTTATACATAGGTAATGTAAAAATATTTCACCTTTTCAATTTATGTATTGATTCCCAGCCAAGACCAGAGAGGACTACAAAAATAAATAATACATACAGTAGATTATTTTAAAATGTATGAGCTATATATAAAGTTAAGTCAGTGTTGCTACCTATCATTATGCAATGACAAATTGAGTGCTCATAGCACATCTTTCTCCAAGGATTTGCTGAACTGTTCAAGTTAATTTTAAGAAGTTCATGAACAATTGTACAATAAATAGCAGCTTATTAATTTTGCAGGTATTTTTAGTCCTTTAGAGCTATATATTATTTTTGTGGTTTGCCACATCATATGTAACTTTATTTCCTATTATTCAAGTCACATTTTGCAGTTGTTAGATGTCTCTTGATTTGTTTCAAGCTCTCTGGAAGGATGTGGGTCATAAATTCTGATAAACTGTGTTTGCATGCAGCTACATGCTGTGCGTGTCGTAGCATACAGTATTTAATTTTCTGTGGGTGTATTTCTTTTTATGGTGACTGGCAGGTGTTTTTATTCATATGCTTTTAAATGAGTTATGAATTTCTGCATGTGGCTGCAGCTTCTATTACTGTACAGTGGAATTTTGAAACAATCCTCTACAAAATCTCCTTCAGATTTGAAGCAAACTATGAGTCCCAGAGTTGCAGACCAGCACCTGGAAAGAATAAATAAAATCTCTCTTCTGCTCACATTTTAGCCTCTGTCTCGCGCTGAGTATGTTAAGTTGAAGACTGTGATATGATTATTTGTTTTGAATGGGTATGACCGTTGTGAAAATGCTGCAGTTACTTTTGGAGTTCATTGTTAGGAGTTCGTTTTAGAGAAATGATAGACTTTTTTCAAGATGATGATGATGATAATCCTGTCCATACTATTATCTTGGGAGAGTGAAGGGGCCAGTTAACAGGCCAAGTGAAGAGTAGACGTGAGAAGATTAATATGTTGTATTTAACTAATTTCTTGAAGTAATGACTTGTAATGTTTTCGGAACTGGAGGCATGGGTATGACAGTTTGGTTTTGATGAACAGTGTTAGTGGATGAGATTTTAGTCTCTCGATTTCAGTTGAATTTTGCTATTGATATCTGAACGAGAATGTTGCTTTAATGGATGGCAGGCATGTCTCCTGGATAAATTCAGTTTCTGCTGTCTCTTACCTCTAGAAGATTTTATCAAAGACTTACAATCTGATCGTTTTAATGCAAATGTTTTATGCATTTTCAATTTGAGCTTCCTTTCAAAAGAGTTCTTTATGAGGGCTAACTGCTTCCGTATTTTGATTCTCCTTCTGGAATTCTATTAAAATGAATCACCAGGTAGGCCTGTGTAGACTGTCAGTGGGCTCTGAGCTTCACCCAGAAAGCTCCTAGCCTAATAACTGAGAAACTGCCATGTTTTTGTTTTGATACGGTTTGGTGAAGTTATTTTAAAGGGCAGTCTTGTCTAATTTTTATGACAAAATAGGGTATTAAAAACAAATATAACCATTTTGGAAAAAAGAATCTAATTGCCAGATGTCATATATACAACATTTCAAAAAATTACCTTCTGATTCATAACACACTGTGAATAGCTGTAAAATAACTGACCCTTATACAGAAGAATAAGAAACATTTTTCAACAATGATTACTTCTGATACCAAATATCACACTATAATTTATGTTCCAGTTCTGATGCTAAATCATTTTTAAGACAAAACAATGATGTAGTTTATGGAAGGAATCATTATCTTAGGAATTTGCATTGCAATAGTGATTTTTTTGCATTTGCATCATGGTGTGATTACAATTTATTCTTCAAACAGACTCAGCAGCTAAAATGTTTGGTATTTATTGCTATGTCTTAGTGACCCTGTATGATCAGAAACACAACCGTTGTTGTCCATGTTGTTTCCATCTATTGCAATGTCAGTGTGGCATGTGTTTAGCTATCATGTCTCAAACGTGTTCCTAGGTAAGCCTTAAATCAAACACAACATAGCTGAAAGCAAGTTACTTACTGGAGTTAAATTTTGAATCTTCAGTTACTTTCT